TGCCTTACTACTTGGTGATATGAAGAGTTGGTTTTGTCTCTGGATGTATAAATAGATTGATGAAGGACTTAAAACCACCATACAACCATTGAATGTATGGGACATACACAAACAGAGTATCACATGGTTCTGTCTTCCAGATATAATAGATGACAGGACACGAAAGCTAACGATTTGTTTTCTCCATGTCTGTATAATAAATGAAGAGAAGAAATGTGTAACTGTCATGTGTGATCCTATTTGTGGATATCATGAAAGAACAACTTAACGAGTGACAGAGACTTGTTGTTATGTTGTTGAGAAACTTCAGGTCCCCACTTTTTAAATTCCTATTAAATCCATTTAGACCACGGAAATGAGGGAATAGGACAAATAACCAACCACAGAACATGAAGGAGGGAAGCTTGATTGTCTTTGTTATTGACAAAATCATATGTCTTAATCTTAACAACATTGAGAAAACAGTCCCTTGTTATTAGTTTAATGTCCCACCCTCAAATAATGATCTAATCAAGACAAATTGCAGTTAGCTAAACTTTTCCATATAGTAAAGACAGAACCATGTGAAACTTTGTTCTAGTCTGTCCCACGGTTTAAGACCACAAATTCAAAGATTTCATAGAGGTTTCAACTCCTTCATTGACCTTTTCCTATATATAATACACATATCCCATTCTTCCTATCATCAACCAACAACAACCAATCCAATAACTTGCTTTCTTACATTTTCACAAGCTTTAAGAGAAATCAAACTTTAAGATAAAAAGAAGAAAAGAAATGGCTTTGGTGAGAAGTCTATTGGGTGCAAAGAAGATTATTGGCCGCTCTATAACGGCAGCAGCCTCAACAAGTAAAAGAGCAGCCTCGGTGGCGCCAAAAGGGTTTCTTGCGGTGTACGTCGGAGAGAGCCAAAAGAAGAGATATGTGGTGCCAATCTCATACTTAAGCCAACCTTCATTTCAAGCTCTTCTTAGCAAATCTGAAGAAGAGTTTGGGTTCGATCATCCGATGGGTGGCTTAACAATCCCCTGTCCCGTAGATACCTTCATCACCGTGACTTCTCGGCTCCAATGATGATAATCCAACATGTTGTTCTTCGAGTTAGAGATAGACTTGTTCCTTGTAAATAGAGGAGAATTTTTTGTTTTCCGTTTTTTTCTCTTTCTTCTTGAAAGAGTTGTTCCAATTTTTTTGAAAGTGGATGGCATTTTTGACACAATCATGATTCATGTTAATACATTTTGGATCGATCATTGAAAAAGGAAGGACTATTTTATTTATACTTTCAATTCTGGTTAACCATCAAAGTAAATCTGAAATGCATCTACAAGGTAATTCTTGTTAATACATTTTGGATTGGAATCTGATAAGCAAAGCACGAGATTTTTATGCACCTGAACAAGATGAGATTTACATTTTCTGATTTTTTCCTTAATCGAAAAATAAACTAAAAAACTCTCATTAAGGAAGAAGACGTTTAATAAGTAAGTAAAAGCCATTTGTCCCACATCGAAAGAACAAAGCTTTTCTTTGTTGTATATAATCGCCAAGTTTACTAAATAATAACGTCGAGCTTAGTAACGTGGGCTTGTGATCCAAGTGGAGACATCAAAGTGATGGAACGTTGGGTTGATCTCATTGGGCCGGGTTCGGGTTGGACTATATTCTGGCTCGCCCATTCCAAGTTGGGAGTTGAGGCATGTGGCTTGAGCGAAGGCTCGGGTCGCTTGTCTCCTAGAGCGGAGGAGACTGCGTGAGGCTGGTTTCACAGAGCAGCGTCCACCTCCCGCTCTTGACGGTGGAAGGATTACGAGCCATGGTCTTCCGAGCCCACTATGACCCGATAAGCCAACACCAATTGAACCATCATTTTTTTTGTTTCATTCTGGTACAAAGTCTTAGTACAAGTATCATAAGAGAAAGCAGCTAAGTTCTCTGAAACTCTTACTTTTGCTCTCAAATCTTATGCATAATTATTGGACAACGGTGTGAAATCGAATGGCCCATCTCTTTTTTTTACACTAACCTTGATTTAACTCTAATTAAATGTTTTCATATGTCTTCCGTTTGCAAAGACATATATGTATTGACATGATCGTGTAGATTGCAAGAAATTTGGAATTAACTTTCTAAGCTCTTCGTTAAACTCTTTCAAGACCAAAAGAGTAAAAACTCATATATTTACAATGAATAAGTCCTATTTATCTAACTTGGGAGATTTCGACCCCAAAAAAAAAAATATCTAACTTGGAAGAAAAAAATGTTAAGGATCATCATCATTGGAGATGAGAAGTCACGTTGATGAATGTGTCTTCAGGACAAGGAATCGTTAAGCCCCCCATCGGATGATCGAATCCAAATTCTTCTTCGGAATTGCTGAGAAGAGCTTGAAACGAAGGCTGGCTCAAGTATGATATTGGCACCAAATATCTCTTCTTCTGGCTCTCCCCTACGTACACCGCAAGAAATCCTTTTGGTGCCACCGAGGCTGCTCTTTTGCTCGTAGAAACTGCTGCGGAGGAGAGTCCAAGAATCTTCTTTGCACCCAATAAACTTCTCACGAAAGCCATTTCTATATATTTTTTTTGTCTGAAAAAGTTTGAATTCTTTTGAAGCTTCTGAAGAGTATGAAAAGATTCAAGCTATTGGATTGGTTGCTGATTGTTGATGGTAGAAAGAATGGGTTATGTGTATTATATATAGAAAGGTCAATGAATGAGTTGGGAATTCTCTGAAAGATCTTTCAAAACTTGTGGTCTTGAAGCGTGGGACAAACTAGGACGGAATTTCACATGGTTCTGTCTTGACCATCTGGAAAAGTTTAGTTTAATGGGATTTGTCTTGATGGGACAATAAACTAAAAACAAAGTCCATATGCAAATTCACAAGGGACTGTTTTCTAAATGTTTATTTGAGATAAGACATGCTATTGTCAATAATAAAAGACCAGCAAGTTTCTATTATTCATGTTTTGTGATGATCATATTCTCTCAATCTCTGTGGTCTAAATGGATTTAATAGGAATTTATAAGTGGGGACCTGAAGTTGCTCAACAACAGAACAACAAGTCTCTGTCACTGGTTAAGTTGTTCTTTTATAATATCTACAAATAGAATCTGATCGATCTAGTTGTCCATGAGAAGGGCCAGTTTAGGTTCTTGCCAACGTCACTGTTGAGGGAGATAAGACAAGAAGACAAAATCATGAGCTAAGTGCCCCTCTTAGATTAAGGCACCAACTTTCTTCAAGTACACCATTGTAATGATCTTATTATAAGTACTACTGGTTCCTTGTCAACTATCTTTCAGTTGCACGATTTCAGGAGGAGAGTAATGGCATTGCGGGTTCTTTTTAGGCAAGCCAAGTATGTTCCAGTTTAGGGAGATGAAGAGAGTCATGGTTCCGATATGGTTCTTTGAATCGTTGCATAGAGTTGATTAAAAGGAGAATCCAAGTGTCTTATCTCAACAAGTTGGATTGTTAATTGTGTGTAAAAAATTCGATTTCAATTGCTAATTCTATTATGTTTTGTAGGAGAAAGTACTTTCAGCTAAGTTTTTGAGAAACCATATCATGCTCTATCTGACATTGATCTAATCCAATTGCATCTCCGCAATAAGACAGTGAAGTGGACAAGAAAGAGGCAAACACTATAAGATAGAAACATAGCATAACTCAAGAAACAGAACAATGAAGAGAACAAGTGAAACAAGAAACAAAATGGATCTTCACAGTAACATACTCTCGCAGAGATTCAGATGGATTTTTAGCTTGAACTAACAAAATCCTTCGACGAGTTGAGCCACAGATTTAGCCAAAGAATCAGCAGCTTCTTGTGTAGATGCTTCAGCATATACTCTCACCACATCTTCTGTACCTGATGGCCTAATGAAAGCTCTGCCACGCGAGTATTTCTTGATTTCAGCATTAATGGCATCTTGAATCCTCAAAGGTCTCAGAGCCTCTGTTTCCGAGCTTGTGGTTACAACCGCTGTTCTATCTGGAACTTCAACCTTGATCTGTCTGCTAGGAAGGTCCTTGTATAGCTCATTCCACTTCTGTACAGACCATCCCATGTGTTGCAGAATCACTTCGACCAAGAGCAATCCACTCAGAGCGTCACCAACCGCTTGGTTAATCAAATTACTCACCGCCACTAGTCTAGAAACCGCTTTGTGCTCTTCAGAGCCCTGAGTAAGATCTTTTTGTTTGGCAGCTAAAAAAGCTAGAAAAGAGTCCGAGAAGAGTATAGTCCCGTGGCCATTAGCCTCAAAGTAGATGCCGATATCATACTCTGCTGCTTTCTCATGTAAATGCTTAACACCTGTTTTTGCAAAAGCAACATCTAAACCCAATTGCTTGAGGTAATCCGTGGATGCACCATTCGCGTAAGCTGTCTGCACAACACCAAGACGAGAATGCTTCCCTTCTTTATCATCATCATCGAGAGCGTTTAGTTGCTCTTTGATGAAGAGAGCAAACAAAGACAGAATCTTGTCGCCATCTAGTAGCTCAACCTTCTCCGAGGAAGAGTTTGAAGGAATGTAAAAGTAAACCAATCGATCCGCATCGCCGTCCAAACTCGCACACCTCATCCCTACATCATTAGACCCGAATCCTAAAGGCACAACCTTTTCTTTCTGCACAAAATCAGCACCTACACCTTCATTAAGCACACCTCCATCTCTTCCTGTATTACGAATCTCAAGATCAAGATTGCTCAAAGACCCTCTTAGCTCCCCAATCTTAAGTCCACCAACACCATTAGCACCATCTACAATCAATTTGCTAATCTCTAAACCACTAACTGGGATCAGATCAATCAAGCACCTGAACGAAGTAGAGAGATTCTCAAAGTAATCATTCTCAGTTGCACTAAGACCTTTGTTCTTAGCTCTAACCATCCAATGCAATTGCGGAGTAGTCAAAATCCCCATGTCAATCGCAACAGATCCCAAAACAGAGGAAACTCCGATTTCCGCAGCTCGAAGAAGCGATTCACCACTAGGTCTAGTATCTCTTCCCAACCATACCTCTGCACTTTTCTTATCTCCGATTGTGATTTCTTCCTTCTCCATAAACTGTCTGATCAACGAGACGAGTTCTCCAGGAGAAGAAGCGTTGGCGATCTGATCTGCGAAAGGCTCCCATTCCTGAGAAAGCATACCACCAGATGGATCTGCGACTTTGATGCCATTATCGGAGACTTGATTGTGCGACGCTGTGATCATGAGCCCGATGGTCGCTGATCCGAGCTTGACCGATCGGAGAGCTGAGAGGATCCCAACTCTATAGACAGTGGATTCAAGCAATTTCGCATCGCCTCGAAACCCAGCTGTTCCGTACGAAAGCTTGACGCCTTGAGGAATCGGAAAGAGATCACATGATTTCAGGAGTGAAGCGATATGGGTCTTGTCCATGGCGCTAGAGAGAGTGGAAAATGAAGATGGACCCGATAATGGAGGAAGGCGACACTCACTCGGATTGTTGTAACGTAAATTAATCTAAAAGGAAGCATTTTTATTCCTTCTTTGTATGTGAGGCTTTAGCTTTTTGGCCATGCTCATTACATTTTTTTTTTTTTGGTAATCTGAAATGAAGACATCAATAGTTTGATCATCTTGGAACTTTGATACATTTTCATTTGATTAGTTAGGAGGTAAGATCGTTTACATTAGTGTAGGTGGATTAGCTTGATTGGTGACTAACAAAAATTATCTATAGAGATGAGATGTGGCTTTTGGAGACAAGAGGTGAGATGAGTAAATATGTTTCTTCACTGCAGGGGATTGTTAGTCTACCCATTGGGTTTGATTCATCCTCTGCCTTTCTTAGCTCGAGAGCGATATCGGAAACCACACATCTCTTATTTTGACTCTCCACAATGTACACTTAATGTATCATTTTGGAACATGAGCAGACTTTGAAGTTGCAAACAGTTTCGCTTGCCGGAAGATTTGCATTGATTGCAGCAAACGAGGAACTCTCAAAGCCATGGGCTCGTTTGATGGTTATGTATTATCTTTCTTCTTGTCTTGTATATAAAGATGATTGCAAAGAGAAAGTTGTTGTTTTCTGAAGATGTGAAAAATTCTTGTGAAGGGTTTGGGAACTTCTATTTTATAGATATACCACTCGAGGATATATGCTCTGTCTGTTTCTGGCTTTGACTTGGAGAAGCTGAGCTAATAGGTACTGACTAGACATGATTTGTCCAGTCTTGTCCAACATTTTGATCTAGTAAGGCCCCATCTGATGGTGGTCGTTCGATGAAGTTTTCGCAGAGGCATCCACATGGATGTGACAGCCTGACAGGTTAGTCGCGCTTACATTTCAATCAAATTCAAGCTTTACCACATGAGATCATATTCATGTCCTTTGAAAATGAATGTGTCATTCTTGTTCTCTTGGTAGGCAACTTGAAGTCCCACCACATCATTAAGACACCTAACCTGCTAATGTTTTGATTATAGACAAGAGAAGATTGCAATATCGGGAAAAACAAAACCATGTGAAACTCTGTTCTTGTATGTCCCACGCTTGTAGACCACGGTTTCATTGGTTCCAGGGTGGTTTTTAATTCCTTCATTGATCTATTTATACATCCAGAAACATAACCAACTCTTCACACCACCAAGTAGTAAAGCAATCAAAAGCTTGACTCTCAGCATTTAACTTGTTATCCTCAGTCCATCTTCAATTTACATTTTCAGAGACTAAACATGGCTTTAGTGAGAGGTCTGTTGGGTGCAAAGAAGATTCTGAGCCGTTCTATAACGGCTACAACACCAAAAGGGTTTGTTGCAGTGTATGTTGGGGAAAATCAAATCCAAAAGAAGAGATATTTGGTGCCACTCTCATACTTGAACCAGCCTTCTTTTCTAGCGCTTCTTAGTAAATCCGAAGAAGAGTTCGGATTCGATCATCCGATGGGTGGCTTAACGATCCCTTGTCCTGAGGATACCTTCATCACTATAACTACTGGGCTAAAGGGAAGATCATCCGAGAAGAAGAAAGATCTAACATTATTTAGCTCGAACTTGAGATAGTTATTCAAAATGTAAATAGGTCAACCTTTTTCCTCTTTTGTGAGAAAAGAGTTGTTCATGAGGTTACAAAACTCAATGTGAATGTCATTTTATTTTATTTTTGGATGTGAGAAACATTGGTGTCAATGCAAATTACATAATTTTTTGTTTTTTGGCGAAAAGCTTCATCTTGAAAGTTTGGGTTTTAAAGATAATTCTGAAGATAATGATTAAGTTTTTCGATTGCTTGTTGTTAAATATATGAAGAGTTGTTTCTCAAAAAAAAAAAA